TGCTCTGAGATCAAATTTCAATCCCGCAAACAAAACCAGCTTTTCTACGTTTTTCACGACCATAAATGCTTTCAAGTCATGGATAGGAAAGGCTTGGTTGCATCAGCACTTTACCTTTGTGCTCGACTGGCTCCGGCCTCCTCCTTGTCCCCTGGACCCTCCGCCCCACCGTCAGCAGCCGTGCTTTCAGCCACTACACACTGAAACTGTGGAACTCTCTCCCTCAATCCCTTCGCCTTGCCCCCTCTCTCCCTATCTTCAGGTTGTGCTTGAAAACGTTCCTTTTCGACAATGCCTGCGATCACCTTCCCCCTGGCTCGGCATCAGGCTCCGGCTCTATTAAGCGCTCCTAGACTCCATCCGACATCCGAAGGGCACTATATAAACGCAAGTTGTTGTTGTTGTTGTACCTTTGTAGATTGAAGAAGGAATTGTTGGCAGTAACTACTAGTCAGATCTCTCAGTTTTTCACACATCCCTTTGTAATTAGACAAGGATTTCCCTGCACTTTGGAAGTTGGTAAACTGTCCCTCTGAAGCAATGGAAATGACTAATTTCAGTGTGTAGGAATAGCACGTCCCAGGGTTTGGGAACTGTATTTCTGACACACTTTGCTCTATGCCTGCAGCTGCCATAAACTTGATTGTGCATCATTAGTGTTGGGAATAAAAAAGAACAAGCTCAGAGAGCAAAATTTAACATAATGCTGCTGCTGTAGTTAAATAAGGCATTCCAATAGTGTTTTGATTAAACAACAGCATTTTGCACTTTTACGGCCCCTTTCAAAGAGCTTTACAAGGTTGGAGTGGGAGCCCAGAGTGGGAGGGAGACGAGGTGAGAGAGAAGGGGGTGTGGAGGAGAGGTGGCCGAAGGCACAGTAGAAGAGAGAGGTTTTTAAATTGCTTTTGAAAGACAGAGGGGGTGGAGGGAAGTCAGAAGAGAGTTCCAAAGGGCTGGAGCAAAGTGATTGAAAGCTTGTCTGACGCTATTGGGGGGGAAGCGGGCGAAGGTATGAGAAAGGCCGGGGCATAGGGTTACAGGAGATCACGGGTACAAAGGTGTAAGGCTGTAGAGACATTTGAAGGCAAGATGGAGACTCTTGATGTTGCTCTTCTGGGGTATAGGGAGGCAGTAGAGCTCATGGGTTCGTTGAGCCGAATGTGGGAGAGGGTGTGAGCTGGAGAGCTCTGGATGATCTGAAGCTTGTGAAGGCTGGAGTTGGGGAGGTCAGTGAACGGGGCACTGAAAAACTTGAATGTGGAGGTGACAAAGTTGTGCATGAAGTGTATCCAAGAGGCGAGACTGTGGAGAAGAATGGGGAGTGGAAAAACAGTTTTGAGGGCGCAACTGTAAACCATGTCAAAGGCAGCAGATATATCGAGGAGAACAAGGAGACATTGGGAGCAGAAGGAGAGAGGAGGTTGTTTGTGACTTTGACCACGGTAGGTGGGGTAGAAGCCAGATTCTTGTCGTGAGTACATTTTCTGTGCCAGGTTCACTACGAGTACTTTAATTTCTCAATTTATAAGGGAGAAGTTTATTTTGCAATTTAATGACTTACTTAAAATTACTGCGATATTGCAGTCCTGATACTTGTAATAAGGAAATAATGGGAGGGAAAGCTGGTTTTAGTTGGAAAAACAACCTCTGTGTAAAAAAAACACGTATGAGACCATTTTTGTTCAACTGCAAAAAGTGATGGGTACATTTTATCCTCCCCTTCAGTGTAACTTACAGAAGGACAGAGAGAGCAGTGTCTTCGGGATGTTTGTAATAATTCTGCTTACAAGTTCTACAAATGTATCTTTCATTGTCAGAAATGGTTTGTTAAGGGCCTTTCGATTCATTTTGTTCTCATTTGGTTTTGGTTGTGATAAAGAGACAGGTGAGCAGTATAAGATTTGACATATCATTACTTTTCAATGTGTCAGACCTGAAAGATACCTACTAAACAACAACAGTAGCGCCTTTCAGGATAAAGTCTCAAAGTGCATCACACAGCTGACTCGGAGCCTGAGCTGGGGACGAAAGTAAGTAATATTAAGTAAAGGAGAAGTTCAGAGAATTTTGTTAGGATATTGAATATCCAACCCAAATTTGTGGTCACAGCAAAATCTATAATTGCTTTTGAAAGAGTATTTGACAAATCTTTGAAAAACAAAGACATAAAAGGATATGCGGAAATGGCGGAGGAGTGGAACTAAACAGAGAGCTCTTACAGCGAGTCAGCACAGACAAGATAGGTCAAACGGCCTTCGTCGATGCTGAAAAGTTCTGAGACTCCGCTGCTTACACCTATGTCTGTAACTCTGAAAGTAAACGTTTTAAAATATCTTGTACAAGTGAATTTCAGTGAAGTTAAGTTAATGGGTTTAAATGCAAGTTTGAACTTAAGAGGTTCACAGGAAACCCTGAGAGCTACTTTGTGTATAATGCACTGGAGCTCCAGCACTGGCACTGTAGTGTCTTTCTCAGATTTGTTTTTTTAAAAAATATACATTGCTGCTGCTGCAATTGTCGTTAGCAGCTCTGGTGGGAGAGGAAATGATCAAAAGATCATGGTTTCCACTCCTGTTCTTTGGCCATTGACCCCTATTGAAAAATGTCTTTCTGAGGTCAGCGATTGAAGAAAGTAACCTGGCTTGGCATTGATCCCCTCCCTTTTTCTCTCCCTCACCTCCCCACCCTCCGTGCTTGAATAACATGCTTGACTTGGCAGGTGTTCTGGAGGGTGCCTGCCACCCCTGGAACTGTTCCTCAGCACTTTCAACCAAGAATGGAAACAGGCAACCAGGCAATGACAACATGGTTCGCTTTCATTTGAAAATATTTTTTCGGTTTTGGTGTTTGTTTTGCGTAGTTTTACTTTGAAGGCCGAGGTTTATAGTGCCTGCATCATATTACTAGTTCTGGAATGAATACACGAGCTTATCACGTTTATGGAATTTTATTCACTCATGTAACCCTCCCTTTGAACCCCTAGGTTCTCATGGACAAAACATTCTTACATACTTTATTTCAAATTCGATTGCTCTGGTTTCTGTCAGACCGGTTCAGCAAGCTCCGGGCGCTGGTTGTTGAACAAGCCAACGGAATTTGGCACAAAAACAGAATGGTCCTCGAGCTTCCCTTCCTGTGGTGGACACATCACTGACTTCTGAAGGAACAACTAATACATTCCATAACATTAATTGGAAGAAGTTTGTTCCCCAATGCAGATCCAAAATGCTGGATTGCATTATCTCATGCGATTGCTTCCGTTTTGGAGAATTTTTGGCACTTGTTTTGAAATAGAGTAAGACTTGTCAATGTTGCCACTAATGTTATGTAGCCACCAGGGTCCTGGGCTCCTATCAACGCCACCAGAAAGTGTCCAGGTAGAGTTCTCTCCTTTCATTTTACTCTGCCTTCTGGGATGCATCACAACTTTCTGTCAGGGCGGATTTTATCAGGATGTGATCAGAATGGGCCTCGAATCAGTCATTATTTCGCCCACACAATATACAGTCAACTCACTTTACAGAATATCCTGTGAAGTGCTTTGAGACGTTTCGAAGACATGATAATGTACTATATCAAATGCAAGGATTATTATATTATATGTTTCCTTGCATTGATTTGAGAGCATGCTAATACCACTGCTACTCTGGACTTCATGTGAGAACATGCATTGTGAATGTTGGCAGACCATTTGACTGTGGGCCTGACAGAGATCCAACCTTTGCTTTTCATACATGAGCAACTTCTAGAAAAGATTACTTGGATAGCAATCATGATGGGAATCCCTGGATGATTTCATCCCAGCTCTTAAGGCAAACTATCACATCTCCTGAGTCAAATACATTTATGTTAGTTAATACATAGCATGTGCAGCTGGGACACCCGGAAACAAATCGCCATTCTTAAGAGTATCCATACCAAATTGTGAGAGTTCAACATGTGCATGAAAAAAGATTCCGTTTGTCTGCGAATAGAGTGTGCACTCCTCCTGGGGGAATGTACTGCGCTCACCTCATCCCAGAAAGTATTAGGCACAGGTTAGCAAGAGCCAAGTGTGCATTGAGCTATTGCTACTGTTTAATCAGCTAAAACCACACAGCTTGCCATTGCAAATACTGTTTAGCAAATTTCGTGATGCTTCACCAATTGAGACCATCCTACTCATTTACACTTTGGCTTGCTGAGTGGGAACAATGCCCACCTCCGATAATTGGTCAGTCCCTACCAAGTCCTGCTGACGAGCCAGGCTGGGTTCTTTGTCCTCAGTGCCTTGAGGTACTGGCTAAAAAAACAGACTGCTGAGTCTGCCACAGGGGTTTGACATGATTCCAGTATTCCATTGCCAGGCATGTCACCTCAGAATTAGCTCAGCCCCAAAGAGATGGTTCCTACTCTTCCCCCACTCCTCCAGTGAATAGACCTAACCTGTGCTGTGTGGCTTGGCCATTGCATTGCATTCACTCATTGAGCCGCACAATAAAGTGGGTATTTTTCATTAGCAAAAACCTAATGTGCCACATTTCCAAATTGTACTCATTACTAACTGATGCAAGGAGTCATGGGTTTTATGGGATGGGAGAAATTGAGCTCCTCAACCAAACATTTCATTTCAAAAGCGTTTTGCTCACAAAATACACATTCAATCCACTTTACAATATATCCCGTGAAGCGCTTTTTGACATCTCAACCACGTGAAAAGCGCTGTATCAAATGCAATGATTATTATTAGTAAGACCATTGATTTTGGTGCTGCTCATAATTCTTAGTCACAGAGCTAGAATTACAGTAACCGCATAAAGTCAGTTTTTCGTAAAACGTGCACAACTCTTAAGAACAAAGAAAATATGTAAATCGAGTTTGCAGTGTGCAATATTATTTAAGGCTGGAAGAATGGAACTTGTTTTTACTGTACAGCAAAATGAGAAATTGGAAGGAAAATGCAAGTTTAGTTTCATAATTTTTTCCTCCCTCCCTTATGGCATTTGCCAAAGCCTGCTGACGAGAAACGAAGGAGTGATTTGAGCTGGCTCGACTGGCTTTTATTAGCCTGTGTGGGTGGTTGCAGTCTGCTGATGTCACCGATGGAAGCCAGGCATAGCTTCAAAGGCCTTCATTGTTGGATGTGTAACGTAAGCAAGTCTCCCAGTGCAGGAGGTGGAGGAAACGGTCAAGAAAAGCGGGCTCATATGTCTCGTATAGCCTCTAGGTGCTTCAAACAGTTACTTCCCGCTGAAAGAAAAGTACTAGGATTGAATTACTGAAAAAAAATGGGTGCGGTGCTCTCACTAACGTTCTGATTCAGCTGTAAAAGTTTTTTGTGAAAACCAGGACGGCATTTTTTCTGTGGCTTGGTTTTGAAGAGTTCCCGAGTTGATTTATTTTTCAACACAAAAAAAGTTGAGCGGGGAGACCGACGCTGCCGAAGGAAGAAGAAAAGTCACTTTGAATCGAAGTTTAACAAATGAAAATGCTGGAGATTTGCCGTAAACTGGTGGGGTGTAAATCGCGAAAGACCCTCTCTGCTTCGTCCAGCTGCTATTTGGAAGGTAAGACTGGGTCAGACAGCGTAAAGGAAAGCAAGCAGTTCGAGAGGCCCTGAAATTCCTCAGCTCCAGAAAACCTCTCGGAGGCCTCTGTTCTCATGTGGCTTTGCAGTTGAGAGAGAGAAAGGGAGAGATAGATAGCAGCTTGCGTAGGCACAGACGTAAACAGCTAAACTCTCTCTGGAAGACATTTTACTTCTCGATGGAACAACTTACAGTACTTTGGTAACTTTATAAGCATTCCTGTATTGAGCTGTGTAGGAATTAGTTTAATCTGAGTTTCAAGCTTTCCGTGCCTCGTTTATTATCCCTGAACACTGGCCTTTTGGATTTTAGTAACTGCTTAAATGGAAGTTTCTTGCTGTAAACCAGTGTTTCACATCGACTTGAAATAAAAAAATAGATTTGCCAGCCAGTTTTTCTTGGCGCGGAATAACTTTTACAGCACTCCCAGGTTGCCCCCTACTGCTGTTCAGTTACTGTACAGCTCATGTTTTTTTCCACATTTGAGGGTACACAGCAGCACATATTGACCATTCCTGCTTACCAAGTGTGCAACGAAGTATTGCAAGCTCGATTTTGATAGCCAAAGACCGTTTAATATGTGCTGCTGTGTACCCTCAAATGTTTAAGGAATGCTTGGAATTTTTTAGGGGCGGTTTTCCTATGTTGTACTTCAGAAAAAGACTGGAATCTTTCATTGCAACTTGCAGTCATGATACCACAACCCCCGACAATAACTAAAAATGTGTATGGCTCCCGAGTTCTTAACAAGCATGTACATTCTCAATAACTTGAGTTTTTACATGACTCCCAAAGGAGCTATGTGGACCAGGGCTCCACAGGAAGGTTGTGACCACTTAAACAGTTGCACAGATTTTGTTTGTGACATGATTTTTTGAAATAAACATATCCTCGGTAGATACAACACAACAAGGGTTAAAGTACGTTGAAATGGTACCCTGAATTATCTCTTTTTGACACACACAGCGATTGTCTCCACAAAACAGTACAATAGAACTGCATGGAACTTCACAATAGCACAATATCATCTTCTGGTTGTATTTATACGTATTCACTTGATTACGAGAGACGTTACACATTTCAGTTTCTTGGAATAAATCCTGTCTAATTATGATACAACCTGAACTATATTTCCCTCATTTCACATTAGATACACATCATTTACTTTCATTTCTAGCAAGTTTTAGTTTGCAACGCACTTAAAAACGGTTATTTTGCATATAAGATGCCACATTAATACAAATTCTTATTAATTATTATTTTAATTATGGCAAAGAAAGCTTACTTGGAATGGAAGCCTAAATCCAATTAAAGGCGTATGGTTTGATGTGTTTGGGACAGCAGAGATACTGTCAAAGGTAGTGTGGGTGCCTTTCCACATGAAAGAATGTCTGACCTGTCATTCAGGTTACAAAGTGGTGAGTTTTAGTGTTTGGTTGTGAAATGTGATGGCTTTGTAAATGCCCGAGGGTGTTCATTGAGGAAATTTGTTTATCCTTCAAGGTAGCCAGAACGAACATATTGCCAACAATTCTGCTACTTGAATGAAAAGTTTACCTTGTAACCCCAGAGATGTAGAAATGTTTGGTCATAAATCACAGCTATTGAACGCCTGTAATATTGCCCGTTGGTATAGATGGAGCAGAATCCATTGCATTCTCCAGCTGGGATATTGCAGAGCTGCAGTGTCTCAGTTGGTATAGAAATGGTTGCTTTCCTTGGTCTCCTAATCCACAACACTTCTGTGTGCAATTGGCCACCGCATTTTGCCCACAAAACACACAGTCACTATACTTTACAGATTATTCTGTGAAGCGTTTTAAACATCTCAACGACGTGAAAAGTTGCTATACCAAATGTAAGGATTATTATTACTATAACACTGCACAGGGTGGAGGCAACAAAAGCACTCTACTGGCATATACGGGGCGGGTGGGGGGGGGGGAGGCAACAATTCAACTGCTCAGCCAAGAAATTGCTACCTCTAACAAGTCACTTAGGATGAGCCACTGCCTCCAGCAGCCTATGAGCTAGGCCTTTGGCAATTTTAGAACATTTGCCAACATTGCAGCAATGTAAACGCTTTGCAAGATGTCCTGGTTGGTTGTTAGTAAACTTTAGGGAGGTGCATACATAATGTGTAATAACCAAGGAACTGCTTAATGGGCAGAAGAACAGTTAGCAGAGAAACGGCTGTTGTTATACCAAAGGAAAGCGTTAAAAAAAACTTGGTCGCACTCATCAGAAGCAATAGAACCTTCAGCCAAGCTGTCGAAGAATAACCATACTTTTGCTTCATTTGGAGACTTCTCTTACACAAAGTATTTATTTTCACTTTGATTCAATGAGCTCGATCTCCAACTTTCAGTTTGATGCACAATATTGTCATAATTGTGTGTTTTCTTTAACAAAAATACTTCAGTTGGTATTGGATTTCACCTCTTCTCTCCTTCTACTGCACATCAACACCTAGCCCTTTCCAGCCACAAACCACACTGTTCTTTTCTGTCCGTGCAATGGAGATGACAGGGGTTTGGTCCAAATATTGTTGACTTTTCTTGGTTGGCCCACTTGAAGAGCAACTGGCCTGCGCTACTTATTTGTTCCTCATTTCTTTAGATAATGCAACAAGGACCAGAAAATCATTCCTTCCTCCCCTGACCTGGAAGCCTGGCTGCAAATCAGACAGTTCAGTTTGCATCTCCTGGTTGATTACAGCATAGCATTGGAGCAACTGGTCCAACAACAGCAGATTGATTACATTTGTATAGCACCTTTCATGTCAGGAGGACATCCTAAGAATAGTCAGGGATTTGCACCCAAGTTGGGGGTTGAGAGCAGTAGGGGTAGAGGGCAGGCGCTGTCGAAGAGGAGGGTCTTGAGACTGGCCTTGAAGGAGGCAAGGAAAAAGAGTCCAACTATTTATCACATTTATCTCTTGGCTTTTTTTTTGTGTGTGTTTAAGCTTACTTGTCATCATCTGTTTACACTGATGTAAATGTTTTTGGAGCTAACAAATAGGGGGAAAAAGCTGCAAACCTTGAAACACACCAAGGAAACAATTGCCTTGAACTGTTCGGGTCCAGTATTTTGGGATTTGCTGAAATTATTGTCTGTGGGATACCTCATGGTTACGTTTTTCTGACTTGCATTCTCTCTCGTATATTGTACCTAAGTCTCCATCTATGCTGTTCTTCGACTGGTCATTTGTGAGCTTGTGACTGTCAAGGGTAAACTTCTGCTTTGGGCGATTATTTTAAAAGGGATCCCCAGCTTCATATTGGGAAATGCTTCTTCTTTGCTTGGTCCTAGAATTCAGTGGAGAATTGAGAGCTTGTAAAGTAACTGCTGAACAGTACACTGGGGATTGTATGTTTTAGCTTGTTCAAATTTTACGACCAAAACACTCCATATGGTTATTTTATTCAGTTTCTTTTTTTGATCAGCTGGATATCCGATACATGGCAATCCATCGTAATGAAGGACGTATCCTACTTACCTAATCCTGGAAGCTACTGTATTAAACGCAGATTGGCAAGAGCTGAGGTTTCAAGAGACCCCAGTGTGTGCATTGGAAGCAGTAGGATTTAACGAGGTATTCCTAGCTGAACAAGCAGTGAGAAGCTTGCCATTGTGAGCAATGGCAAGCTCCTGGTCACTTGTCTAGTTAGCGGTACTCTATTGGGACTTTGGTTTGCAAATTGTAAGAGGAGCCAACTGGCAAGAAATTAGACCAAATTTTTATTTAACTGTTCTTTTAAGTCATATATTATGTTAAACAATCATCATTATCTTTGCATTTGATATTGTGCCTTTTACAGTGAGGGGTGGACATCTCAGAACTCTTAATAGAATTTACAGTAATGTGTAGTGACTGTATTTTGTAAGTAATGCGGCACCCAGTTTGCACATGCAATGTCCCATGACCAGCCGTGACCTGAGTGGCCAATTTTTCCTGGGAGAATTGTTGACCAAAGCACCTTAAGAAAATCTCTTCTCATTTTGAATAGCCGGATCTTTAACATCCATCTGAGCAGGAAGGTGTTTTAACATCTCATCCAAAGCACAATAGCTCCAACAAAGCAGTGCTCCTCCAGCACTGTATTGGGGTGTCTGCCTAGACTGTGAACCCACAATCTCTGACTTGAAGGCACAAGTGCTACTAACTGCACACCAGTGTATTCTAATGAACAACTGTACACTTTCTCATAAACTTTTTTTTCCAGTTATTCTGCTGTACTCCTATTGCAGTGATGTTTTTTCAAAGGTTACGATTGCCGATTTCTGTAGGAACAAAATTATACATTCTGCAGAGGTTACAATGATAATAGTACCAAAACATTTTTTTAAAAACAGCAGTGAAACCAGAGGTTACTTAAAGATTAGTATTTGAGATTGCATTCTTTACGTTGCAATAATACATGCTTGAACTTTGTATTTACTTTTTAAGTTTCTTTTAGACTTATCTTAAAGTGCTTAAACTCCAAACTTAAAGTTTTCTTCAACTTAAAGAGCTTCTTAATTTTTCCATTCTCGTCTGAGGAATCATGTTTACACAAATTGAGGTAGGAAAGATTTGGTTAATAATATTGCTAACTCAAATCAATTCTAGAATTTTCAAACATTTTTCAGATTGTGGCTTCAAGTCTTTCTTCACATTTATAAGAAATATGAGCTGAGCTTTCATGGCGTATTAGCCCAAGACACCCACTCTTCATGTATATTCTTGTAACCTCACTTTTAAAATTAGGCTTTGAATCCAAGCTCGAAGCTGCCATTCAATAATGTTTTATCCAGCGATGTAGAGTGAGCAGGGCACCGGCAGAATGAAATTCCTTCAATTCAGCTTTAAAAGTTTAAATTTTAGTGTCTCAAAAAAAGAGAAGATCAACTCCCTTCAGTTTTTTTTTAAGAATCGCCCATCCTTACCAACTTCAACAAATAACAAAAACATTTTCCTATCAAGGTAGATAGGGGAA